CTCTCTCTCTCTCTCTCTCTCTCTCTCTCTCTCTCTCTCTCTCTCTCTCTCTCTCCATAGTAAGCCGTGAAATTTTCAGAGTAGGCGACGAACAAATTTCTGTGAGTCTGGGGCCATGTAATGGCGGTTTAAAAGGTGGATGAATGTATGCAGACTGTCTTTCCCAACTCTTGAGAGGATGCAGCAGACTGTTGTGGGGAGTCCAGCATTCCGATTCTGGGTGGGATCAAAACGAGAGCGAGCCGAGCCGAATGGGTTTGTCAACAGCAGACTGCACACTGACTCCAGCTGCTGGCGCCAGCCAAAGTGAAAAAAACATTTTTCCGGTTTTTTCACTTTGGCTGGCGCCAGTGGCCATTTTGTCCGGTCTGGTAGCATTGTTGATCAGGTGGTGCTTCTGAGCTGGTGGGTGTGCAGGTTGAGTCCGAGTGGTTGTTGGTGAGCCTCTGTCCATTTCCATAGTTGTATGGCAGGTCGCGCCTGTGTTGTTGGTCAGCCCCTGTGGTAGTCACAGGGGAGTCATCCCAAAAGTTCCCCCTAGCAGAGGCCACGGCGGCTTCACAACCCCATCAAGTTGATGACCTGTTGAACCGCCTCTGCGTTCCTGACGTCTGGCCAGTGTACAAGGGTGTGGCGGGTATCTTGCAGGCCACGCTGCAGTGGGATGGGCTGGTGCCCAGTGGGCGACCTGTATTTGGCAGTCGGGGGCTTCAGAAAAGAGTGCTCGATCGATTTCAAACTGGGCACAACGTTGTTTCATGTTTCCGGTTCTTTCGATGCTATCAGTGAGTCTGAAAGAAGAGTTTGGTTCTTCTTGTTGCTATTTTTTAGTTTCCTGCATTCCTTTCTCTCTCCAACTATCTTTCTTTTCTTTTCTTCTTCTTCTTCTTCTTCTTTTTCTTTTTTTGTTTTTTTTGTTTTTTTTTTAATCGCAGGGGCCCAGTGCCCAAGGGTAATATTATCAAGTTGAATACAACGCAGACACACGCTTCTTCCCATTAGGGCTGGAAGTGCTTGGTGGCAGCATTCTCAAGTGAGGACTGAGAAAAGGTATTTGTTCCCCCCTGCCTACCGGTAGCTGGCAGGGTACCTCTGCCTGGTAGAGAGGTGGTGGTGGTTTAACCAGCACGAAACTCAGAAGAGCTCTGCGTGTCTCTTCTAACGACACAGCAAGATTAGGAGAGGCTTGGTAAGGGGGGGGTCAGGCGGGGGGGGCGTGATGAGATAGCACACGAAGGGCTTCAGTGTTTCCTAAATTTGCTTCATTCGTTTCCCCTATTGCTCAAATATCCTGCACGGTTAATCCTCTGGACAACAGAGCAATCAATGCTGGCAGGCCTTTTCTCAGTCGTTCTCTCTGAAAAAAGATGTATTCAAGGGACGCTGGACCCGCTTTCCAGCAGGTGACGCTCCCCACCAATAGATGGAGCCGTTTTAAAAAAAAAATAAAAAAAATAAAAAATAAAAAATAAAAAAACCTCAACCTTGAGGGGTAAAAATCAGTAGGGTTTGGCAGGTCAGGTCCACCGGGGGTAGTGGCAGAGTTGCTGGGTAATTGAAAGGGGTAGATTGGCATCAGCGCTGAATTGACATCTGTAGGGGTGACATAATTGGAGGGATGTCAAACCACCAGTACTTCCTAWAGTTGTGCCCGTTAACAAGCCACAATTTTAGGAAACGTACGGGGCCACTACAGGAGCCGCCTACATTCATCCGACTAGAAACGCTTTACTCTTTTTTTTTTTTCCGTGGCCGATAGCTGGGCCAACTACTGGTGGTTTAAGCCACCGCTGCTCCGAATGCAATCCATAATTTGTGTGAGGATTGGAGTTGTTTGGATGGGYGTTTATCCTGAGGTATTCCTAGAGTGTATGCATTATACCTCTGTAAGTAATTTAGTAGTACATGGGAAATTTGGGCCCTAAAGGGCCTTTGTATTTGACCGGCCGCAGGTGACTGGTTGGTCTAGCAGCAGCAGGGAAGGTGAGGGGTCGGCGGCAATGTGCAAAATTTTCTGAGTGTGCAAAATTTTGGCGTTTTTTTCACGTTCGGGAGTTTCGATGGAAAACTCTTTACGGAAAAAAGAGTGTGCTGGGCTTTATGCAGGGAAAAAGAAAGAAAAGAAGAAAAAAAAAACACTCTCACTCTCTGGATGGCAAATAAACATTTTGGCAGTAAATGTATGCACATTTTTCCCTTCTACTGCTACCAATAGATCCAAAACTTTTTGGATCACTGCTAGAGGCTCAAACAAATGTGCAGGACAGCTAAAGTTTATGCCACCAGTACATTTACCAGCCATTTTGCAGAAACGCGCTGTGTATGCTGGCAGGCCAGGTGGGGTGCATCGGGGGTGCCGTTTCGCCCGTCGTCCATCTGGGCAGATCAGGTGGGGCATGCAATCTGTTTTGCCTGGATGGATTTCAGGCGACCTTTGCATGTCGGTATCAAAAACCGATGCCTGTTCACCTGGCTATACTCCAATGAGATAACGTGACCGATCAACGGCCTCATTGTCTTAACTATGTGCTAGCGTGCACAGCACGTTTTTGAAAAATGGCTGGAACCCCGACTAAACGTTTGGGTAGCACAGAGCTTTTCCGAACGTCCGAACATATGTTTGGGTGTTTGGCCGAGCGCCTCCCGAACGTGTTCGGCCGAACATATATAAAAAAAAAAAAGAAACTCTTTTTTTGGTTCATGGTTTTTTATGCGAGTTTGGTTACGAATTTGAGCATACCTCCCAGGCAAAAGTTGTTTGTATTATTATTTTACATTTTTTTTCAGATTTTTCTGAGATTTGTTTTTCTATATATATTTTTTTATGTTCGCGTTCGGAGAGTTTTGGCGCTCATTCGCGTTCGGTCGCGAACGTTCGGGTTCTCGGTGACCGAACCCGAACACGCAGCTCAAATGAAAGAAAGTTCCAAAATAGATTGTACCATTGCGATGCTTACAAGCAAAGAAAACGTGGGCCACATTATCGTAGGCTGTGTACACAAACAAAACGTATTCAAAAGTTCAGATCAAAAACTGTGCTACAAACTGGAAGACCTCCACCGGTTGAAGTGGCTATCATACCCGCCCGGGCGATACCAGCTAGGCAGGGGCCTGGGCAGTCCCAACGCATGTATTAACATGAAAAAATCTGGAAAAAAAAATCAAGAAAAAAAAAAGAATACTGTGTACAATTGTATTGCAAACAAGTTTTGGTTAAAGATCAAAAAGGAGACTTAAGGTTTGCAAGAAAAGCCTTTAAACCAGTTATCTTGATGTTCATCACCAAATGGGGAGATAAGGCCAGATTGGATGGAGCGGACAAAGTATGTCGGACAAGAGCTCCAACCAAAGAAAATCTGACAATAGGTGTCGAGAATTGTGCTTCAACAATATAAGGTGACTGACGGATGAAAAAGGAAAGCACATGAGCACAATCATATCAATCACGAAAGTAGCATGACACCCCAATAGTCGTAGAAAGGAAGAAACTACTGCGAAAACGATGCCTCAGGGTTATTCCAGAGGAGGGAAGGTGGAGATGGCAAAAATGCGGTGATATTTGTGCAAAAGGAAGTAGGAGAAGTTTTTCATGCCACATAATGTAATCGGACAGAGATTGATGAAAACTTGGAGGGTATGGACCAAGCTCATATCGCACGAGTGAAGAACAGTAGCAAAACTCTTCTACAAACATGATTAACACGTTAGTGTCAAAACCTCATAGAAAGTCGGTTCCTCGTGAAGAACAGTAGCAAAACTCTTCTACAAACATGATTAACACTTCAGTGTCAAAACCCCATTGAAAGTCGGTTATTCTTCTAAGCATTTCTGCTTGCGCGAGTAGCCAGCGTCGTTAGGGGGAATCCTACTTCAGAGTGACTAATGGTTAAAGATTCAAATGTTATTTATGGGCTTAACATGAGCCTTCAAATATACGAATAGACCAAACTGCCCCGCATAGTTTTTCTTTTGAAAATATTGGATTTTTTTTTTTTTT